ACCAGCCAGGAGGGGCACGGGTCCAATAAACAGGTGGAGGCACTCATCGCTCCCATGGCCTTGTCCAATTCCTCAGGGGTGACAAACTCAAACTCATCCCAACAAATCTGACTAAGACTCTCCCTCGGCATCTCAGCTGGTGCTGCCCAAGTAGAGTCCAGGTCTGCCTGAATCTGAGTGATTTTATCCAACAGAAACTGAACAAACTCATCAGCTCTTCTCTTCAGGGGTTCCCCCGCTTCCTTACCTTTCAGGAGGGAGTGGGTCACCCTAAATAGGGCGGTTGGGCGAGATTCCGCGGATGCAATAAGAGCGGAAAAATGTGCACATTTTGCCACCTGTATCACCACTAAATAAGTCCTAATAAAGGCTCTTAATAGTGTTCGGTCAGATTCAGAGCTGCTAGTCCTCCAGCGTCGCTCTAGGCATCTCTTTTGGTGCTTCATCTCCCCGAGTTCCTCGGTAAACTAGGGTGCCCTCCTGGATTCACTGCTGCGGAGAGGCCGCAAAGGCACAATCTGATGTAGTGCCTCAGCCGCTGCAACATTCCAAGCCGCAACCAAGGACTCAGTCGGATTGTGGGCAAGGGAGTCAGGTATCCCTCCAAGCTCCTTCTGAGTTTGAAGATGAGGTCCTTTGTGACCTCAAAATTAAGAGTTGTTCTGGCTTCTGGTGACCACCGGAGCAGCGAGACTCTTCGCTGGGATGCTGGGTGAACCACGCTAAGCTTTGAGCTGTTGTATTGTGGGAGTCGGGATAGAGCATCCGCCATAAAGTTCTTTCCCCCTGGGATATATTTTAAAGTGAAATTGAACCTGTTGAAATGTTGTGCCCATCTCATCTGTTTAGGAGATAACTTTCGAGGGGTCTTTAACACCTCCAAATTCTTGTGATCAGTCCATACCTCAAAAGAGTGTTTAGCCCCCTCCAGGAAATGTTGCCAGGTCATCAAAGCCTAGCTGACTGCAAAAGCCTCCTTTTCCCATATAGCCCATTGTCTCTCTGTCTCAGTCAGCTTCCGAGAGGTATAAGCCCAGGGTTGCAGTTTCCCTTCAGCATTTGTTTGTAGTAATACTGCCCCCACTGCAACATCACTAGCATCTGCCTGGACCACAAATGGCAAATCCATGTCTGGGTATTTCAAAACTGGTTCAGCCGCAAACAGTCGTTTTAGTTTTTCAAATGCGGCTTGACACTCCATAGTCCAATTTAATGGCTTCCCTGGCCTAGGCTTGGCCTCCCCTTTTGATTTTAGGAGGTTCGTAATAGGGAGGGCAATGCTGGCGAACGAGGAAATAAATTGACGATAAAAATTTGCAAATCCCAATAATCTTTGCCATTGTTTGCGGGTGCAGGGGGGCACCCATTCAATGACAGCTTGGACCTTTGCTGGGTCCATCTCGATGCCATCATGGGAGATGCGATACCCGAGGTAGTCAATTTTCTCCTGATGAAATTCACACTTAGACAATTTTGCATACAGTTCCACTGCACTGAGTTTTTTGAGCGCTGAGCGGACCAATTTCACATGGTCTTCACGTGTTTCTGTGTAAATAAGGATGTCATCAAGATAGACCATCACGCCTTTGTACAGGTGGTCATGCAAAACCTCATTTATTAGTTGCATGAAAACAGCTGGTGNTCAACCTTGAGCCGGTGAGATTTGAACAGCCGAACTGCAGAACTGCAGTCAGCTGAAGTAGCCTGCAGTGCTGCATTTAACCACTGTGCCACCAATGTGGAGTACTACAGGTAGTCCTCTACTTGCAACCACAATCCAGCCCAAAATGTAGGTTGCTAGGTGAAACAGTTGTTAAGTAAATTTTGCTCCATTTTACAACCTTTTTTTCCACAGTTGTTCAGTGAAACACTGTAGTTGTTAAGTTACTAAAAAGGTTGTTAAGTGAATGGCTTCCTCATAGACTTTGCTTGTACACAAGTTGCAAAATGCGATCACATGACCTCTAAACATCGCAACTGTCATAAATATGAATCAGTTGCTGAACTTTTAAATTTTGATCCTGTGACCATGGGGATGTTGCAACGATCATAAGTGTGAAAAATGGTCATGTCATTTTTTTCAGTGCTGTTGTAACTTTGAACAGTCACTAAATGAACTGCTCTAGGATTACCTGTATTGACTTAGCTCTACATCTAAACCCTTGTCAATCTGAGGTGAGAAAGCCTTGTGATGTGCACTGCTGTCCCAGGTGGAGGGGCTGTGGGAGGTCCTTTTCAGGTATCTAGAAGGCTGAGATGGGATAAAACAGCCTCGTGTTGAATCTCAGCAACAGGGAGATGCTGTTCTAGACAACCAATCTGGTTCACCTCCAGTACTGACTTTAGGTCTAGATAGGATTGCACTTGCCCAGAAGAGCCCATCTGGGACTCCTGGACTCACCCAGGCCTTTGCCTCTCTTTGGCTGGTACATTGGATCTGGGCTTGTTGGACTAGAACGGGATGTCCTTACTAGGTGAATGCTCTTATCTTACGGCTGAAATAAATTTTTCATTTATTCATAATTTCAGTTTCTACAGAAAAATCATGCATTATTCTAGATGTGTCAGGGCTGCTTCCCTCAGTAACCAAGAAAGAAACCACTCAACTCCATTTTGCAGAATTAAGAGTACTTTTACTGGTTATGANGTCAAGAGCCCCAGAAGTCATTGTCTGTCGAGAAGGCCAGGCGCTTTCTCCTCCCTACACCCAGGACCATCCAGTTGATTTGCCCTCATAGTAGCTGAGCAAGCTGTGGTCCTTCTGTTCTGTGGAGGGGCGGAGATGGAGGGGGGGGGTTTGTGGGCTCCGGCTTCAGCTTCCAAAATCCTTTTTTTCCTCTTACAAAGACTTGGAACGGGAAGAGTATGAGCTGCTGTGTCCTGATGGATCCACTGCGCCTTTGACGGCCTACTCTACTTGCAACCTGGGCAGCGGACCGGGCCGCGCAATTGTCACACGCCACAACTTGCAGAAGACAGCGAAGAAATTTCTCAAGATCATCCAGGTATTTGCTGGTAAACAGGTGCAGATTCTGATTCTCACAAAGGGATCTGATTTGGGGCTGGTGCCTGAGGTCCATTCGCATACCAGCTGGGAACTCTGGGCATTGGTCCAGGCATCTTCAAGTTGCTAAGGTTGAAATACTGGCTTGCATCATCTCCCCCTCCAAGGGTTTGATGCAAATTGTTTCCTGTTGCTTAGCTGGTGGAAGTGACTCTTCGTTACCCTGGCTGCCAAGTAATCAGGTGTTTTCCTCAATGGTTTTACAGGAGATCTCAGGGTTGGCTGGGTCTTTCTTCTTGGATTGCATCACCCCTGGATGGATTATATCCTTAGCAAGCTTTGTAGGATTCTTCTCCTCGTGCAATCCCAGATACCTCCAAGCAGCCTCACTGCCCCCTGGGGAAAGGGCGCTTTCTTCAGGAGGGGCATGTTAAGGCATGATTCAAATTAAGAACAGGGAGGTGACTACTAAATTGATAGCAAACCGTACTCCCCCCCCCCCACACACATTCCCTTCTTCCCCCCATCCATCTTTTAATCTGCTTACCGTATTTTCATTGTTTATTTCATGGTTTATTTTGCTATTTCAATATTTTACTACTGTTATGTTTGCACTTCTTGTCACGTCTTTATTTGTAAGTCCCCCAGAGTACCCCCACAGCATGATAAACAGCAAATAAATTTAATAAATAATAAATAACTGAGGAGACAGAAGCTTGCAGAGAGCAGGAGGGCTCAAGGATTCTTTGTCATGGCTGGGTAGAAGGAGAAATACATTACAACTTAGTTTTATTTTAGACGGTTCTTAGACAGAAATTCCGGCTTAAAATAAACTAAGCTAAAATGAGGCACATATCCTTCCAATGTTTAGCAAATAGGACATAAATGCAGATAAATGCCCTGACCTAATTTAGCTAGCCTGTTATTATAACTGGAAACCAGAATAAAAGCTCTGTGGAGCTTCTTATGCAAGTGAGGTGTTGTGATGGCGTTCCCCAAGAACATCACACAACTTTTGCTATGTACTCTCCTACTGGCAGGAAAAGAGAAGGTGTAACTGTGGTTGACTGGTCGCCTGGCAGTGGCAGGCTCCAGCTGCTGTGAGGATGTTTTCAAAAGTCTTTCCTGCCTGCCCACATGCAGATCACCATTCCCTCGCTCCTGGGCTTCTTCCTGGAGCATCCCCAGAGCCAACATCCTGGAAGCAGATTTTTGAAATACCTAGCACTTAGTAGCACACAGAAGTCCCAGCTGTAGCCAGGAAAAAAAAAACCATAGTTTTGAGAGCATCAGAAGAGTGTTTGGGCATATGTCCTGTCTGAGGATGAGTCTACCCCAGAAACCTGTCCCAGTGAAATTAAATCCCCTTTTCATTCCACCGATCAGGTGAGCTCCTCCATTAAGTCCGCATTGTGTGGCAGTCCTGGGAGCTTGCAGATGGTGTGGTTCTTGGCAGATGTGTCCCCATCCCCTGCCCTGGGCAGGGCTCGTTTGCTGCCTGGGTGCAAGGACCTGTGATCACTGGCTTTGGTTCTTAGCACCTGTTTGGAATCAGAGGAAAAGAAAAGGCCAGATTTGAGCTCTTCACATCTGCACCGTTCAGAGGGAGGGACCTGCTGTTCCACGACGCCACTCAGAATCTGCAGCTGCTGGGAGAAGAGACCGAGATCAGTCAGATTCTTGGCCTGGACTACGTCACCCTTCTGCAGGGTTTGGGACACGAAGGTGAGGAAGGCTCATTCTCCATTCCCCGGCAACTGGGCAAGGCAGCTTCTCCCACCTCTGATTGTCATTTTTCTGCTGCCCCAGGGAGCTCTCTGTCCAACAGCCTGGTGCGCTGGTGCTGTATCAGTGACCTGGAACTCCATAAATGTGAGGAGTGGGCTCTGAATGTCAGGTCTGACCCCCTGGTCTGTGTCCAAGCAGACTCCATGATCGGCTGCATTGAGCTCATCAAGGTGAGTTGTTTCTTCAAGAGACACAATTTCATGTGAGAAAAATGAGTTAAAATGGAAGCCGAAGGCAGAGATCAAAGCCGTTCCCCAACAGAACTATGGCCTAACATGTCCTAAAGAAATTGGATGGCTTTCTCCCACCCCTCTTTTTTTTGTTTATTTATTTAAGAAAATTGATATGGCTCAACTCACTCTCAGTGATTCTGGGCAGCTTACAAAGAATAAAACCCCAATACAAAAAGCAATAACCCCACCACTCCCCTGGCGACAATAATCAGATGAGCAACTTGATGGCCTCCCTATCATCCCGTGGTCTCCAGGTCCACTATCAGAACCACATCTTCAGGGCTTTGTAAAGAGTGTTAAATTGGGGGCCAATCCTGTCTTAGAGATGATGTTCAACAGGGAGGGAGCCACGCTAGAGAAGGCCCTTCTTGGTCCTCCTAAATGGGAAGAGGACCCCAAACATTCCCTGCTCTAGTGGGTTGGGCAGAGATGCCTGGGAAAAGACGGTCCTTCAAAGTTGCATGGAGGAGGGATGTGAGGGTTACCTCGACTCAGACTAGATGCCTATTCATAGGATTGGAACTCTGACGCCACCTCTGTGCCTGGGAGACTGGCTCACGGGACCCTGCAGGCGTGTAATGAATTGTGGGTTTTGAGTGATGGGAGGAAAAATAAGCACCTGCTCACCGCGTTCGCTTTCATTTTACATTTTAACAAGCAGAAACCTGGTCCCGATAGCCAAGCAGAGGCAGGCAGAGACTTTGGAGCAGAGGGAGAAGCTGAAACTTTTGATTCATGCCTGGCACTAAGTCAGCAATAGCAATAGCAATAGCAATAGCAGTAGACTTATATACCGCTTCATAGGGCTTTCAGCCCTCTCTAAGCGGTTTACAGAGAGTCAGCAT